GGCACTTAGAGGTTTGCCTGCCGTGGCCTTCACACTCCGGACTTTAGACTCCTTGACATCAGTTGTTGCTCTTGTTGCTGGGTGACCATGAGTTGATGCCGATGTTTCGTGACCTCTGTACAACAGAATGGAACTGCCCTTGGCCCGGTGCCGTCTGCACAATTGTTCTTGTTTGAGCCCATTGTTGCAGCCGCTGCGGTGTCAATGTATCTTGTTGAGGGTCTTCCTCTTGTTCACTGCCCCTCTGCTTCACCAAGCATGATGTCCTCCAGGGACTGGTCTCTCCTGCTACCATGTCCAGAGTACTGAAGATGAAGTCCCTCTGCCCTTGCCTCCAAGAAGCATTCAGGCTGTACTTCTTCCTAGACCGGTCTCTTTGTGCTTTTGACAGGCTATGGTACTTTGAGTATTCTTCACCAACACCATAACTCAAATGCATCGATTTTTCTTTGGTCTTCCTTATTCAATATCCATCTTCAACCTGCACCTAAGGCAATTGAAAATACCATGATGAAGTCAGGTCCCCCTAAATCTTCAAAGTAACCTCCGTGCTGTTCAGTACTTTAAAGAGATCTTGTGTAGCCGATTTACCTCCTGCAATGTGTCATTTGATACGTGGTCTGTTGCTTCCAGGAGCATGGAGCGTGGATCCCAGCCAGAACAAAATACTAGACAACTCCAGCCTTTTCTCCATTTGCCATGATGTTCATAGTGGTCCAGTTTGAGGATTTGGGTTTTCTTTACATTTGGCTGAAAGCAGAAAACACTAGAAAGAAAGATAGATTCTTGTGCTTCATTGACCAGACAGTTGCCATGCATACTGTAGGCTGCAATCCTTGATCTTCATCTGCAAGTGCTTCCAGGCCTCCTCACTTTCAGCAGGCAAGGTTGCGTGATCTGTGCAGTACTAAACCAAACCCTTCTTTCTCCTGCGGAGAAGCTGGTGATTTTGAACTGCTGACCTTATAGCTAGCAACCCAGTGTGTCGCCACTATGCCACCAGGACTCCTTCCTCCAATCCTGATGCCGCATTCTTCAAGTAGTCCACCTTCTCCGAGTATTTGCTAAGCACACAGATTGAATAAGATGAGAGAACTCAACCCCGATGCGTCCTTTTCTTGGTTTTAAGCCATGCACGATTCCCTTTTCTGTTTGTACAACTGCCTCTTGACCCATGTACAAGTTGTGTGAGCACAATGAAGAGTTCTGGAATTCTCCTTCTTCTCAAGTCTGTAGTTTTTATGATCCACACAGTAGAATGCCTTTGCCTAGGCAATGAAACACCAGTAAACATCTTTCTGGTTTCTCTGCTTTCAGCCAAGATCCACCTGGCATGGGCAATGATATTCCTTGTTCCATGTCCTCTTGGCCTGAACCTTTGGCAGCTCCCTGTCAATGTACTGCTGCAACCATTGTTCGATAATGTTCAGAAAAATTTTACTTGCATATGATATCAATGGTGATATACGCATTCTGTTGGGTCACCTGAATGGATATGCAGCTTGCTCCCTTCCGGTCAGTTAGCCAAGTAGCAGTCTTCCAAATTTCTTGTCATAGATGATTGAGTCCTTCCAGTGCTTCATCAGCTTTTTGAAACACTTCATGTGGTCTTCCATCAATTCCCGTACCCTTCCTTTGGCTAATGTTTTCACTGCTGCGTAGATTTTTTTCCCTTCAGTACCATTGGTTATGACTACCTCCTGAAATGGTTGGGTGTCAAGTACTTCTCTGTGGTACAGCAATTCTGTGTATTTTTTCCATTCTCTTTTGATGTTTCCTCCACCATTTAATATTTTTTCCATAGAATGGGAACCCGAAACTCTATTTTTTCCATTGTCTTTTGATGTCTCCTCCATTATTTAATATTTTTCCCAAAGAATGTTGCAACCCAAAACTCTATTTTTTTCTTTAGTTCTATCATTTTAAATATGCTGAGCATGTTCTTTTTTGGTTTTCTGACTATAGGTCTTTGCACATTTCATTAGCATATGTTACTTTGTCTTCTCCGGCTGCCCCTTGAAAGCTTTCTATGCGGCTGTTTAACGTCACCATTTCTCCCATTTGCCTTCCCTACTCTACCGTTACGAGCACGTTTCAGAGTCCCTTCTGACGCACACTTTCATCTGTTCTTTCTTTCCTGTATTTTTGATGACCATTTTCTTTCTTCGTGGATCATGTTCTTGACATCATCCCACAGCTCATCAGGTCTTCGGTCATTCGTGTTTAATGCATCATGTCTGTTCTTGAAATGCAGGTGGTAGGTCGTCAAGGTTGTCTCTTGGCTCTTGTGGACTTCTTTTCATTTTCTTCAACTTCAAACTGGATTTAAATATGAGCCTCTGGTCTCTTTTTAGCTGATGATATCATAGATGTAGTCAGTTTGATTTCTGTGTTCCACCTGAAGAAGTCCACATGTATGATTGCCTTTTGTGTGGTTGAAAAAAGGCATTGGCTGTGAACAAGTTGTTGGCCATCCAAAATGCTGCCATGCACTCTCCAGCTTCATTTCTATCACCAACACCCGATTTTTTGATTGCATGTTTGGTCTTTTTCAGACTGAAGACATTGGTAGAATTCTTCCATTTCTACATCACTAGCTTTAGTGGTTGGTGCATACATTTGAATAATCGTTGTATTAATTGTATTTCCTTATATGCAGATAGACATACAAAGATCCTATCAAGGAAGTGTTGTATGTCAAGAAAGAGCAGGGAATATCGTTTGTGATGATGAATGCAGTGTCATTCCTCACTCTGTCATTCCTAGCAGAGTAAATTATAAGAGTTCCTAGTTCAAAATGGCCAATACCAGTCCATTAAAGCTTACTGACACTTAGAATATTGATGTGTTGCTCTATTTCATTTTTAATGACTTCCAGTGTTCCTGGATTCATATTTCGTACATTCCAAATTCCAATTACTAATTGATGTTTGCAACTACTTTTTCTCATTTGGAGTCCTGCCCCATCAGCAAATGAAGGTCCCTGAAGCTTTGCTGCACATCATTATGGTCCACTCTACTCTGAGAGGGCCTCGTTGTGCCTGACCGCCACTTCACCTGACAAAATGTCAGAGCCAAGAAAGGTGTCAATTCGTTGACGGGATAGCAATAAGGAGTATGTTGTACAGGGAAATTAGTCTTTGTATCGACACCTGTTCAGTCCTATTGTGTGTGTGCCTCTTGACCTGTGGGGCTCACCTTCTGGCACTCTCTCTGACAATCTTCTGCTTCTGTTCATGAGGTTTTCAGTCGCTGATCCTGTTGCAATGCTGTCCAGCGGGTTTTCAGTGGCCACTTCCTCTGCAGTGGGCAGCTTTTTTCTTCTCCGTAGTGTGTTCTTCCTCTGGAAACTCTGCTGAAACCTGTTCCCTTTGAGTGACCCTGATGCTATCTGAAATATTAGTGACATAGCCTACAGCATCACAACAACACACCAACTACCACGGTGCGACACGCTGAGAAACAAGCGGTGGTGTTTGCTGGTAGACGCTGGCGAGTTGGCTTCAACTCATGATGTCTTTTGCCAGAAGGCCAGGCAATGCCTTCACGTTACCTGCATTTGTCACAACCACTGTGTAGTGCCTTCCAACCTTGGGGGGGGTGCGGGGTGGAGGGACTAATCTTTCAGCACGATAGCTGATGAGTCTCTTATGATCTATAATATTCATTGGCTAATTTTTCAGAAATAGTTCACCAGGTCTTTTCTTTCCACATCTCTTTGTTCTAGAAGCCCTGCCCACACTCACGTCCCCTTCAGTATGACAATCTGGGTGGTGCTCGAGAACAGAGACCTGTCTTAATCATTGTTGCTAGTTGACCTTGTTAGTTCGGCCTTGAAGGAGACACTTGGAAGACTCTGGAGAAAATGGACGTGTGACTTACCAAAACAAACGCTAGTGTCTCACTTTCCCTATCACTGTGCCTGACAATTTCATATACCACACCCTCCGCTCAGCCTGTCAGCCAAGGTGGCGCTGTCATCTAGAGTACTGGTAGACATCAAAGAATGGCTCATTGTGTATGGCCACCAGTCCACCTGGCAGAATGTCAGAATCAAGAAAGGGGTCAGCTCCTTGAGGGGATAGCAATAAGGAATATATTGTACAGGGAAATTAGTCTTTGTATCAACACCTGTTTAGTGTGCACCAGGCAATTGCAACAGACAGCGTCAGATAATGCCTTTGCTCTAGAGAAGCTACTGGGACACCCACAGAGCTCTCTCCGTGACAGTTAAAACATAAGCAGCGTTGAAGCTGAGCTGTGTGTACATGAGGTGGCTTTTAATTTAGTTTCATCAGAATGACTCATAAATTATCAATTAATTAATATCTGATGTTCAGTTAAATGCTCTCAGCCATGGAGCTACCTTAGCCCTGCCGAAGACCAGGCACTGTAATTGTAGGGTACTTTGTCAACATGTAATCAGCGGTACTTATGAATGTGGCATTGATGTGTTGTAGCATCCCAGCATCATCCATCATGTGTGAGCAGCCAGAGCCGGCTGACACCATTGCTCTTTGTCACATTATCCAGCCCCCGGGCTTTCAGGCCAGGCAGGATGCTCACTTTTCACTAAATGGACACTCTATCTCTGCAGTTCAACCCGATTTTTGTCACTGTCGATGTAAACACTCATTGCCTTTGGAGCTGCAGCACGAAGCAGCTGGGGCGCGCGCTCCTGGTTCTCACCCTCACCGAGCTCTCGCCAGTGCGGTTTTCACACCCTGTCCAGCAAGTGGGAAATTCCTGGAGACTTGTCCAGAAATGGACTTCATGGCGTGGTGTGTGTGTGTGTGTGTGTGTGTGTGTGTGTGTGTGAGAAATTTTCATACTCTTAAATATAGTGTATTACCCCGAGAAAAGAGAACTGACTTTTTCTTTGTTTCTGTTTTAGCTTCACTGACTATTCTGGAGATGGATGTATTGTTTAAAGCTCTGCCAACAGAAGCTTATCTGGTGTGCGTGAAGTAGCTCATGGTTTCTTCTCTCTCTCTTTTCAGCCTCTACGGCAGACACATGCAGGCAAACCCAGAACCACCAAAGAAGAATAATGACAAATCGAAAAAGATCAGCCGGAAACCCCTGGCAGCCAAAAACAAATGAGGGCTGGGCATGGACTGGGCTCTCGGCCTGCTCTCCACAATCACTCCTGACTTCGCTTGCTCTCTCACAAATAGGTACAATGTGCGTGTGCCTGTCTTTCCTTCCTGCCCCCTCCCTCCCTCTCTTTTTCCTCACTTTTTTTAAGTGTTTAGCCTCCTTGCCTTTTACATTCTTTCGGTAGGTGGTAGATTTTTATAAGTTCTTAAACCCATTTCCATTTGTTTCCTTAAAATTGCCAAAAGCAGGAAACAAAGCACTAATTCAACTGCAAATTCCACAGCAGGCCCAGGTCTCGCTTCCTTGAATAGCTATCACAAAGCCGCTTCTTATAAAAAGAATAATTAAAATCATGTAACCATTTAAATGTCACCCTGAACACGCTTCACTCTTCTGCTTAGTCACAGAAGTCATGACTTAGCTTTGTTGCACGCTTTCCTTCACCACCCAGAAACGGTGTTAATTTAACTTCCAATTGACTGTAATAAAACCTTGAGTTTGTATTATGTGTTGCTTCTTTAGTAGACAGATGACAGAACATTTCGGATCTTGATGGCGGGGTTGAGGGGAGGCCCACAATTGTGTTTACTTTTCCCCGTAAAGATGATCTCATCAAATTTAATTGATTGTGGAAGATCAAAAGCCCTTAAAGAAATGTAAAATTATTCAATCATAGGTAATTTCTTCTCACATCGGTTTTTATCAAGTTTTGGTTCTGTTTTGGCCCCCCCCCACCACCCCTTTGAAGTTGGTTTCTAAATTAGGAAGGAACAAAAAAAAAACAACAAATCTCTGGGAGCCTCTGCCAAAAGATTTTGGAAAGCAGCTCCGCTAGCTGAAGAATGGTAACTTCTGCCAGTGGCTGTGGAAGGAAGAGAGAGAAAGCCCAAGTAGCATTGCTGGCAGGCAGATCTGTGCCTCTCCAAGCCTCCCTGTTAAGTGACGGAAGTGTGCCAAAGAAGGGCTTTCCGCGGGTGCACCCGACACCACACCCAGCGTGGAAGCCGCACTTGCAGAGTCAACCGCCACCCATTGTTTAACACCTGTGACAGACAGCTTTCCTTCCTAGCCACAGTGGGATGTATGTACGCAAAGGAAAACCAATCCCGACCGAAACGGGGTTCTAAGTGTCCTCATGCCTCAGACCCGAATGGGTCAAGGCGTGACATCATTCTCTGTGGTGTCAAGACCCCCTCTCCTCCCCCTAGCCCTGTGTCACCGTCTGTTTGCGCAGTTGAGCGCTGGAAGCACTGGGACGAGGACAAAACCAGACCCCGGCAAAGCTCCTCAGTTCCCGTGGAGGTGAACTTTGTATCTGAATTGGAGAGGCCCGTGAGCAAGATCAAATGACTCTTATATCTGCTGGAGTTCCTGATCAAAGACTGTTCCTGTGTTAGGTGCCCTTGACTTAGATTTCCACTCACAGTGACCAGTGTGGCAGAGGAGACCTGCCACCGTTCCGTTAAGCAAGCTGACCACCAGATCGTGCTGGGAAGCTAATGAGTGAGTAGGTCCAACTCAGCCATTTGGTTAGCAGCAGGACATTTAATCCTTGTACCCACAGGGCCCCTTGCTAGAAGGAGACTCCCCAGGTGCCGTCTCCTGTTTGGGGATAGTGCTAGAGTGATTTTTCTAGGTGTAATGTCCACCTCATGCATAAAATGCCTGAGGTTTGTTTTGTTTTTCATTTGTGAAATTGATGTGAAAACAGTGGTTCTGTTGTTGTTGATTGGGAACAGCATAACTGAAACCAGCAGCGCTGGATTAGTCGAGTCGAACACTATGAAGGTCGCTTCTGAGTAGCTTTTGACAGAGGCGAACATTCAATAGAAAGGAGGCAAAATGAATTCGCAAGAAGGAAATGGTGAAGCAACATGAAAAGAAAAAAAGCCTAGCATCACTGGGCATCCAGAATCACAGCAAAAATAATATGTAAGGTTAAGAAATGTGTAAAAGATTGTGTTAAGAAAGTATCAAGTTCAGGAGAAATGACATGAGATAGACATTCTTATACACAGCTATGAGAATTTAAATTTTCTTCCAGAAAGGTAATATTAATTTGACAATGTGCACCAAAACCTTAAACTTGTATGGGTCGATGGCCCAGCAATCTATCTGTCTGCTAGGCATATACACCAAAGAAGTAAGAGACGCAACACAAACACGTACGCTCTCCCTTGTTCATTGTTCAGTGTAGTTCACAATACCCGGAGCCTGAAAATAGCCCTGCTGCCCAGCAGTACGATGGATAAAGCACCCCTGGGGCATACACATGATGGAATGCTATGCATCCCTGAAAAACAGGGATGAAACACCTCATGACATGGATGCACCTGGAAAACACTGTCCTGAGTGAAGTTAATTGCAAAAGGAATATATTGTATGCGTCCACTACTATAAGGAGAAACGCCAGGACAAAGGCAGACTTCTGTTCTTCCAATCCAGTCTCCCAAGCAATGAGCTAGTGAGTCTGCCTAGTGTCTGTGAACAGAATACCAGCCCCTCAACTGGACATCTTAAAAACTATGTTAAGGGAGGAGGCCTCGCCTCAGTTGAAACCAATTTCTCAGGCTAGGGGGAGAGAGAGAAGTCCAGTCAGTTCCTGCCATATAACATTGTTCAGTGGTCACCCCAAGTCAACTGTCTTTCAAGAGTGATATATGAACTCCATTGGAGATTCAAGTCAAGGGGAGAAGGGGCCTGCTTGTCTCAGAGAAGGAAATTATACATCTGTTGGTGGATACACTGGCTGGGGACACCAGCCGTTGGGAAAATTGCTCAACATTGCTCATGTAGATGCCAAGGGAAGACTATGCCTGGTACTGGGTTCCTAATTGGATACTTTTGACCTGATTTCTATCCAGATCTCAGAAATCCAGGTCGCTGGCTATAGACAACTGGGACTTTTGATTCTGACCTTTTGAGGCACGCAATACCTTTCATAGCCACACCAGGAGGATATGATTTGGAAACCCTTCGAAGGCAAGCTGGACTTGACTTTAAACTCTGCTGTATCAGATGTAAGAGAAGGAAATACTCCCTGGGGCTCAAGGCAGGAATGTCCTGGTGTGAGAAGAAGCAGATGACGGGAATTGGTTTGAATCTCTCCCTTTAAGGGTGCCCGATGTATGATGGCCTGGACTACCATATAGTTACAATTTTTCACGTTCTCTTCGCTGTCTTGCTTGGTGTGCCTTGTGAATGAGTGTGACTAAAAGGTTTGCCCTGTCCCTAGTCCTTGGTGTGTATGTGAACCGTGTCCAGTCACTTCAGCTTTTGATCTGTGCAAGTCAACAATTGACATATTTTGGTTAAAAATCTAGCTTATACATGGATAATTTCCTTTTCTCAACAGTATTGTAAATTCTGTACCATTAGCTAAGCTACTGATCCTATAAAGAGAATTACTTTGTGCCTTGAGGGTGATTTAAATGATCTCCAGTAAAATGATAATGCTGCCTCTAAGATGAACCAGGGACATATATAAACTATACGTATATGATGGACTTGGGGTTCACATTTAATCCTAGCCCTAATCTAAGAACATTTAGTTCCTATAACATGGCCTGACTTGATATCACCATTCTGGACAGACCACTGAAGATATGAGGGCAATAGCAAAGTGTGGTGAAGAAATTAGATGGTGCCTGGCTATCAGAAAGAATAGTCACAGTGACCCATAGGACAGGGTAGAACTGCCCCATAGGGTTTCCAAGGTTGTAATCTCTATGGAAGCTGACGCCACAGCTTTCTCCTGAGGAACAGCTAGTGGGTTCAAACAACCAACTTTTCACTTAACAGCTGAGCACATAACCACCTGCCACCAGGGTTCCTTTATGGGGGAAAAAACAGGGGCTACCTTTTGAATTGGGGATTGTTTTTTGTTAATCCAAAAGACAATTCATTTAAAACAGTGCATGAAAAGATGAAACAAACAAACACCTATTTTAAACACAACCATTCCATTTGTTTATATATTGTCTGTGGCTGCAACGCTGGGTGTTGTGTACATGGCATGCAAAGCCAAAAATAGTTAAACGTTTGCTGGCCTCTGTTCTATTCTGTTAACTGTTGTAGTCAGTCTACATTTTTGGAGATTTTATATTTGCGTAGATTTTATATTTCTATTCATTAAAATCCACTTGTGACACCTCCCCACCCAAAGCAAATAGGAGCACAGCCCTTTGCACACAGGGAGGGGGTGGGGAGAAGTTTGAGTCACTCATTCAGAGCCAATAAGGTGATGCGCTGTCTTTGCTTTCCCCTTGCATCCAAGAACAAGAGCGCGAGTGTTCTTTTCATGGTCTATTTAGTGCACGTGTTTCACACCTTTGTGCTCTTTTTTGGTGCTTGCACTGTTTAAAATGGGCCCCCTGTGTAGTGCTGAAGTGCCACCTAATGTTTCTAAGCAGAAGACAGGCATGCTTTGTAGAGCCAATGCATTGTATTACACAAGCTTTGTTTGGGTGGTGATGGTTGCGAGATCAATGTTAATGAATCAGTAGCATGTTTTAATTAGGTGTCTTGAAAGAGGAACCCATACCAAACAAGATTATGTGTTAATTAGTTGATGAAATTGTTGTAACTAGAGGCCCACATGTACCTGGCCCTGAATTTCCTCTAGAAGCCAGAATTCACTAATCACCATGTCAGTGATCACAGAAACTTTATACAACAAAACTATCATAGATACTAAAAATCAAAATCAACTATGTCAGCCCCACCCCTACAACGGTGCCTGATAGGTAGTAAGGACTGATAAATACTTGTTGAATTAAATTCAAGACTATTGTCATTCAGAAAATATAAAGTTAATATTAAGGGAGGAGAGGGAAGAGATTCCTAGACATTCTTTCAGGGTTTTCTACATTATAGCTTGAGTTTTCTGAATCAGAGCAAATAATTTCATCAGAGGAAGTGATTTCAGAATAGTATTACAGGTGACAGCTTATTCAATCCTGTAACAGTTTCAGCAAACTTGTACTTGAAGTTTGAGCTTCTTTTAAAGGGATCCAATCGTCACACAACGAGGCATTTAAAGCCTTTTCTCAAGCGATCGCTGACGTCTGCAAACTCCTGAACTCAAGGTCTTGGCAGCCCAGGTCTCTGGCTCGGAGTCCAGAAGAAAGCCCCAGATCAGAAGCAAAAATCAGCATGTCCTCGTCAATGCAGACTCACGTCAAAGAAACCTGACAATCTCCACCACAGTGCACTTCTCTGGAAATGGATGGTTAAAGGCATCGAAAGACTGACAAGTGCACAACTGACCCTCCATGTTGTGTTTCCCTCCTTTTGTAATAGAAAGAGCACAGGGGATATGGTAGCTAAGCACTTAGTTGTTAAACGCACGGTCAGTTGTTTGAACCTACCCGCCAGGATGGGAGAAAGTTGGGCAATCTGCTTCCATGAGGATTATAACCTTGAGAGCCCTATGAAACAAAACTACTCTACCTGATCTATCTATAAATCACTATCAGCTAGGTGGCAGCAGGGCCAAACCTGC